AACTGCATACAGCAGTCCACCCCGTCCAAGGTAAAGGTGCACACAATTTTTATTTTCAACACACTGGCACTGGGTGGGTTTTGGTCTGGAATCTGGGGGAGGCTCCGTGGAGAGGCGGCGAGCCGGCGGGTGGAGGCCCGGGCCCGGCACTCAGGCCGAGGGCTGGCGCGGCTGGTTCCCAGCACGTGGGACAAGAAAGCAGTGACAGCTCCTCCACGCACCGGGGAGTCCATTCATCATGTCAGGAGACCAGCCTGCTCTGACAACGCGGCCACTCAGCAGGACGGGCACAAGTGCGTTGACAGAAACATGTGGAGCTTCCCATCCGGTGGCAGGTGCCACAGAAAGGAACTCATGGACACGGCTGGTCCCAGGGCATCATACTCGGTCTTACACGAGTCGGCTGTCATTGACTTGATCCTGAACCCGAAGCTCAGCTTTTCCTAACTACAGTCATGAGCACACCAAGGAAGAGCAGCGGCGGCTGCCACACAGACGACAGCCTGCGGGACGAGGGGGCAGAGCAGGCGGGCCCTGACCTGACCCAGACCCTGCCCCAGGGGAGGCCCTCTGACCCCCCGCATCGGCCGGCGGAACAGTCCCAGTCCATCCCGCGGACACGCGGCAGGCCTGGCTGTGGGAGCCACGTCCTTCCAGCAGGTGTATCGCAGACGGTGCGACCGTGGCCCCTGGGGCTCCCCACACTAGCGCACAGAACGTGGAGTCCACCCACTTGGCCATGTGGGCAGTGAGGTGCTCATCGGACTCAGGCCCCGGGGCCACACCAGCCACAACGCCCCACATGGTCCACGCGGATAATCAAGAGAAAATGCCCGCTCTACGGAAACTTAGTTGCCATTTTCACAAAGCGTATCTTCAGTGGTTTTTATACTGTCAGGTAAAAACATACATAAATATAAGTGGGTAAGAAAAATAAATGCTTCCAAAATTAAAATCAACATTTAAAACCATGACTTCAACAGTGCTGGATGCTGACCGCATCGTTCCATTTCATGTGCACATAAGCCACTGAGCGACCGAGTTCCATGGGAAATGCTCTTATTTATTACCTCTGGTTTCACGAGTGAGATCAACATCACCAACCCGGATTTAAAAGTCAGCGGAACTTCAACAACAAAACCAAGCAACTGTATTAAAAATGAGCAGAATGAACAGACATTTCCCCGAGGAAGAGGCACTGGTGGTCAGCAGGCACCTGAGAAGATGCTCCCCACCACCGGCCACGAGGCACGCGCAGATGCAAACCACGGTGAGCGGGCAGCTCCCACCTCGTAGGACGGCTACCATAAAGAGCCCGGAAAATAGCCAGTGCTGCCTCTTCTCTACCTCTTCCCCTTCCTCTAACGGGCATGTGTGTTCGCTGGACGTGTCCAAGACATCCCTCGGCCTCTCTTCCGTTTCAGATGTCATTTCCTCTTCTTGCACTCAGCTTGGGTGCTTTCCACTCCCCCGTCTCCCTGACCCCTGACCCGTCCTTCTGCATCCTCTCGTCTGCTGTGGACCCTTCGGCGTGGTCTCCCTTTCCATCGCTGTATCCTTCAGCCCCGACTGGCTCTGTTTGCATTTCCTGCCTCCACGGAAGGTCTGAGCTCACCCACCCTTCCCTCCAACCGGGTGAGCATCTGTACGACCGTTAGACTCTCCCTCAGGCACACGGCTTACCTCTGCGTCAGGTCTTCTTCCACCGACGCTGTGTCTTGTTCTTCCAGAGCACAGTCCTCTGTCGACCATTCTGCTGGACCTTCTGCGTGTGTTTTTATGAATCCTAAACCTGAGGGAATGGTATCGTGCATGCCGGCTGACTGGCTGGCGGGATGGAGTTGTGGCTGGCGGAGGCCAGGGGTCGTGGGGCTCTCTGTGCCGGGCCACCCTGTGGGATGGCCAGAGCTCCAGTGGGACTGGGCAGGGACAGCCCCGAGGCTCCCCACGCAGAGGGTACTCTGGCAGGACAGCTGGAGCTAAAGTGGCTACAAACGGAGGGGTCCCAGGACCCCCCCCGCGTGGGCACCCTGACAGGACAGTACGTGAGGGGAAGCGAGCCCAGGAGGATGCAGGCTCTGGGCTCTTGTGCAGGGGGCACCCTGGCGGGACAGCTGAGGTGGGGGGCCACCAGGGCGCTCCAGGCTGTGCACAGAGTGCCCTGGCGGGACTGCTATAGCTGAAGTGGGCACGGGCTGGGGGGTCCCTGGGCTGTCCATGCAGGGGGCATGCTGACAAGACAGTGGACAGTGGAGTGGGTGCAAGCTGGGATGTCCCAGGTGCTCAGCGCAGGGGGCGCCCTGGTGGGGCGGCTGGGAGGCCCTGGAGCAGCCGAGCAAGGCATGGGAAGCCGAGGTGGCGAGGGTCTGGAGGGTTCCAGGATGCAGTGAGCACTGTGCAGGGGTGTCCCAGTGTGCACGGTGCTGGGGCCACCTCTCTGGGGCGGCTGGGGCTGGTGTGGGCTCAGGGACCTGGGCTAGGAGAGGCGGCAGGCCGGTCAGGACACCTGGACCCTGCTCCCATCCACACTATCAAGGGGGAGGGGAACGTAAGCCATGAGGCTCACCAGCCCTAGCCCCAGAGAGTTCCAGAAGCTCTCCACAGTCTGGTACAATTTTAAGGGTGTCTCTTTTATAAGCTAGTTGACCTTTTCAACTGTGGCTTTTTTCTGTGCCCTGGGGCGGACGCATGTGCTCAAGGTCTCTCTCTCTCTCCCCGCTGTAGTTCACAGCACCGGGGGTGGGGGTCCCTCCACCGTCATGTCCTCCTCTGTTCGCTCTCTGCATGGTCTCTAGCTCTGTTGTGCGGAAGCTGCTCAGTCAGCCCTCAGTTCTTCTTCAGGAGGAACTGCTTGGTTAATAGCGCTGGATTTGGGGTGTCCTGGAGGTGGTGAATTCAGGGTCTTGGACCAGAACCAATCCTGAACACAAACTGATCTAGAAACAGGACCTTTGGCGATGGAATTAAGGGAAGGACCTTGAGATAAAATCATCCTGGATTAACCACGTGGGCCCTAACTCCAAGAGCAGAGGGGAAGCCACAGGGAGACCGGCAGGCAGAAGCCCGTGTGACGGTGGAGGCAGAGGCTGGAGTGAGGTGGCCACCAGCCAAAGGACGCCAGGACTGCAGCAAACACCGCAAGCTGGGGATCCCCCTCGGAGCCTGTCCGCACCTGCATTTTGGGCTTCTGGCTCCTATGCCACCGATGTTATGGTTATGGCAAACACAGAAAACGAACACAAGAGCCTACGCTTTAAAATTCCTTGAGGTCAATATTGGTCTTAAAAGCACTCTACCAACTCTACTATCAAATACACAAGACGTTGGGAGAGAAACTCAGCAGAGTGATGCCTCATCGGAAACAAACCAAAGCAAACCTCAGATACAAAATGTGGTCACTTTTACCCCAAACGAAACAAAGCACAATGAAGCCCTCAAACATAATCGCTGACAAATGACTCCAGGCTGACAGCCTCTGGCATCTCTGTCAGAGTCCCTGAGCTGTGCGTCCTCGACGAAGCAGGACACAGACGGCATTTTAGCTCCTCTCCCCGACGGTGCCACAATCTCTGCTCTCACAGTTCCTGGTGACGGTTTTCAGTTTTACATCAATTCATCAATGGCTGCCTGTGAAACTTAGCTTTTTATCCACACATTTTCTAAAAAAAGATCAAGGGTTATATATTATCTTCTCCTGCTGGCCAAATGTCCACATGTACTCATTTTCCTATTTAAGGTCACTCTTGCATCAGCAATTGGTCTTTCTTACAAAAATATATTAAAAGGAAAAGTCCAATTTATTTCAGTTTTTAAGACAAGATTAAAAGCCTGTTGTTAGGGCTAACACTTTATTCCTGAATACTTCCCACAACACACTGAAGGACTCTGACGCAGACGTGTTACGGGAAGGGGGCGTAGGGCGGGTGGTAGCCACGCAGCCCCACGGTTCACCCAGCAAGGAGACGCGCTGGCCCCCACACACCATGTGGTTTAGTGAAGGAAAACGTGGCCTTGCAGAGGTTCGGGATGGAGTCTTCCCAGAGATGGACTGGAGGGCAGTCCAACTCCAGCGGCCGCGACATCTGTGAACGGCAAGCGTGGAATGTG